ATCGCTTAGGCGGTTACAGCGCCAAAAAAGAAGAAGAAGAAGAAGAAGAAGAATTAGTAAATTTTGATGGTTTCTTTTCGATTATTTTGAAAAATTAATTGGTTAAACGCTCGATACAATTAAATCGTTAACCGAATGAAAATAACCATTATAATCGGTTATTCGATTAATCGTGCCATCACTAATGCAAAGTGAAGCCAAGTCCTTCTCCACCTGGTCTTTCCATTGCAGTGGGAGCCTCCGTCTTTCTCTGCTACCACCAGCGAGTTCCGAGTTGAATATTTTCAGAGCTGGAGCGTCGGTGTCCATTCGAACGACATGACCAAACCAGTGGATCCGCTGTATTTTAACTCGCCGCACTATGTCATGTCGTTGTAAAGCTTCTACAGCTCAACATTCCATCGTCTACGGTAATCGCCGTCGCCAAGGCGTAAAGGCCCGTAAATTATCCGCAAAATCTTTCTCTTGAATACTCCAAGAGCCGCCTCATCGGATGTTTAAATTGTCCATGCCTCTGCGCTACAATCGTGTCTGCGCCATATACCAGCACGGGCATGATGAGTGACTTATAGAGTGTGGTTTTCGTACGTCGCGAGAGGACTTTGCTCCCGAATTGCCTCAGTCCAAAGTAGCACTTGTTGGCAAGAGTGATTCTGCGTTGGATTTCCATGCTGACATTATTATCGGTGTTAATGCTGGTTCCCAAGTGTTTGGGCCTCGAAGTGTACGTACGTCTAAAACACTGGAAGCATGCCCTCCGTCTATCACAACTCGATCGATTTGGTTTCTCCTTTTTCAATCCGGAGACAGCCACGTAGCTTGATGAATATTTGTATGCTTGAACCTAGTACTGCATACTACCATGTTTCGGGCCCCGGCGAAGTCGATCAGCCTCAGTCCGTTGTCGGACGTTTCGTCGTGGAGGCTGAATTTTCTGCCGGTGATTCCAAAGGTCCCTTTCCTGCCCACCCTCGCATTGAAGTCGCCAAGCACGATTTTGATATTGTTGCGGGAGCTCCAAGCGCTCATAGAAGAGATCCTTGGATATCTCATCCTTCTCTTCCGTCGGGAATGGGCGCAGATGAGCGAGATGTTGAAGAATCTCGCTTTGATGCTGACTATAGCTAGACGCTCGTCTATCGGG